AATACGTCATTAATAGCGGTTCACTTCCGTGATTTGGTACGATTGCGTTCACATCAGCAGCGAACCGTACCAGAGTTCACTTGAACCGTACCCCAGACCACCCTTTTTAAGCGGACTCGGGTACGGTTCGCGGGTGCGCACCAGAGTACTGAATACTGAACTCTGACGTCAATCGAACCCGGGTCCGCACCAAAAGTGCTAGAGTGAAAGCACCCTTAGTTGAACAGGAAGTTGAACAACTTAGTTGAACAGGAAGTTGAATAACTTAGTTGAACAGGACGTTGAACAGGAAGTTGAACAACTTAATTGAACAGGAAGTTGAACAACTTAGTTGAACAGGAAGTTGAACAACTTAGTTGAACAGGAAGTTGAACAACTTAGTTGAACAGGAAGTTGAACAACTTAGTTGAACAGGAAGTTGAACAACTTAGTTGAACAGGAAGTTGAACAACTTAGTTGAACAGGAAGTTGAATAGGAAGTTGAACAATTTCATTGAACAGGAAGTTGAACAACTTCATTGAACAGGAAGTTGAACAACTTCATTGAACAGGAAGTTGAACAACTTCATTGAACAGGAAGTTGAACAACTAAATTGAACAGGAAGTTGAACAACTTCGTTGAACAGGAAGTTGAACAACTTCGTTGAACAGGAAGTTGAACAGGAAGTCGCTGTGTTTTGTCTCTCAGCTTGAGGAATGTAGTTCTTCAACGAGCCGAACTCAGAAGAACAAACAAACTCAAAGACAGGCGGAAAGGCCAGAAGGCCTGCTGTTATGAAGACATGAAGGCCAGTCTTCACGTGTCTAGCGAGGTTTCATCAGACAGTCTGTCAGTCGTCCGGTTCGGTCACGCACTGCTCCACCATCTCCCGCAGGCTGGGGTTCTCCATAGCGGCCGCAACGCGCTCCTTATCATTGATCTGTTTGTTAACTGTGAGAGGACAAGTCAAGAGACACAACATCACACTCAGACAATCTCCAGACATCCTCTCCATACTGAACTGTGCCAAATCAAGCAGATGCTCAAGGAATATTTAAAGATTAACATCAGTGACTAGTAATCAAACCTAGCTGAACAATTAAACAAAGCATTAGTTTTCCCCTTTTGACGGTTGTAACAGTTTTGTCAAAGGATGATAAACATCCATCCAGTAGTTTTGGATGAAAATTCTGTAAAATAATTGTTTGTTTAATTTTAATGTCTATTTAATTTCATTTTTATGCATCATTTGCCATCATTATATTTGATTATTTACAATACAATAATATAAAAAATAGATGTATTAATTGTGTGTGTATATATATATATATATAATTTAATTTAATGACTGCAATAAATAAATAATATACTTAGTCAAAATCTACGAAAAGCTTCGTCTATGTAAAGGTTACATTTTTGTTTTATGTTTTAATGAATTATATAGTGAAAATAAGCATGTAATTGCAGTAACTGTGTGTGCATATTATTTGCAGTAATTCCAGCGTTGCATGACGGTTGCACTCGGACACATTTAGAAACCCTGAAAACAAGCTTCAGTGGAGAACGTCTGAGCCTCACTCCAGCGGCAGAAAGTGCTGTAATTAACACTCACTGTCCTCCTCGGTCGAGTGCGTTCCCTCCGTTATGTAGATCTCCAGCTGGAAGGGAATAAAGCGAGAGAAAACGCCATCAGAGAGAAACAGAAAGTGCTCCGGACAATGACTGTCGCTCGAGCTTTCATCAGCTCATTAAACCCTCCACGGCAGAGACCGTGTGCTCTCCTAAAAACACAATCCAGAGAGTTAATGATGAGGACGTACCTTGTGCTTGAACGGCAGGCAGCGCTGAAGTTTGACCTGTAAGCACAGACCTGCAGGAAGAGGAAATAACAGCTTAATCAGCACCAATAATGAGGGTGTGTTTACACGTCTGTGTGACTGACAGGGGTTAACGAAACTCTCCACATATCCACTGGAGGAAAGAAACCAGTAGTGCATCTTGAGTCCAATTCTGAGTTCAAGAAATTATAATAGAGCTTCACTATGGCCAGAACTGACCAAAGCTGTCGGTTTTATGGCGTTTTGAGACACATTCATCACTAAAAACATACAAACAAGGTCAAAGAAAATGAGATAAACATGGTTCGTGCAACATTGTGATTTCTGCTGAGTTATTGGCTGCCGAGTGCAAAAAAACATCAAAACTGTCACCGTTCCTACTCCATATGTGTCTCGTAAATAATTCAGAAAATACGAGATATTTCACAGTAAACATATTGTAACAAAATATTGTAGCAAAATATCAGCATTTTTAAATGCATTTCATTGTTTTAATTAATTAATTTATTTTGTTATAATAGTAACGTTCTGGTAAAATAACGTTCCACTAACGTTAATAGAAGTTATATGTTCTTTAATAATTTCCTTAAAAAAGAAAAAAACTTTGACATGAACTGTGACATTTATATTTACATTATGACAATTGTAAATGTTTTGCCAGGCTTTTTCATGAATGCACTGCTGAAAAATATTAACTGTATATTATTTAAATGTGCATTTATTATGCATTTTATATTTTATTATATATTGTTATATTTTAAATAATATAATTTATACATTTTTATGACATGATGTACTGTGTATTATATATTAATATACATTATATAATACTCCATATTCTATTAGTATTTTTTATTATGTATTTTTTGTGATATATTACATACTACATAGTATTATCTATTAATACTATATATATAAGCTGAAAATTTTTTTTTTATTAATAAATTAAATGACTTAAATTTGCATATATATATGTGTGTGTTAGTAGTATTATATATTATATCATAATATTCTATATTTATAATTTTTTATATTATTATTATTATTATTATTATTAATTATTTATGATTTAATTTA